AAATAGTGACAAAATGTACACTACATTGCATGCCAATTTCTTTGTCTGTTTTGTTGTTACTAAGAGTTCTTTTTTCTTTACACTACTAGTGCACATTGTATCACAATTAAAGTTAAATTACACCAATAGTGGCAAAATAGACTGAAAAAACTGGTAATAACCGAAATGCGTTTTAATATGTTTGGTTGGTACCTATCTACCTACGCAGTGCATATCCGGAGATACAGAGTTGTGGAAGTGTGGCATTTTTGTTTAGTTAGATTTTAATTACGGTGAATCCATAAGAGGACATTCTTATTTTTTGGTAAATATTATACTTCCTTTTTCTTTAGGCCTTAATACTCAATAACACTTGATTTACTTTTTATTTTCAATGGTTGTTATATTAACCTATACCTACATTTTCATTAATATTATGGAAAATTTGTACAAGTGTGGTAAATCCCCGCTATACAGCCGCCTGACGCATCTCTACCAATGGGATTACCCATTTTTTATAACATGGATTACTGATAAATTCTCAAGATAATTCATTGCGTTGATCTAAAACTTTTACGTTTTAAGGAACCATTTTGCTTAAGCCAGCCATACGACTCAAATAAAAAATTATATTTTAAAAGGCACCCCTTTTGATAATTGTCATAGATTTTTGTTCCAAATAAATGTTTCTCTTTATTTACCTTTTCGTTTTATTCACTACCAGTAATAGGTTTTACTCAAGTAATAGTGTTAATTTACACTAGAAGTTTGCAAAAGTACACTGAGAGAATAATGAGGCACGTTAACTATTAACATATCGTTGATTTGGATATGGCGAAAGAAATATTAATTTGGGTCTAAGAAATTCCATTTTGTAAAAAACTACGGCAACGTCACATGCTTGCGCATATTGCATTTAAAATTATGTTGACAAATGTTAAACGTTTTATTCGAATTTAGGTATATTAACTGTTAATATATCACAGTTCAAAGACAACTTTATCCTTTATTTGTCTGAAATACAATCACCGGACGATGTTATATATGTTATATATAATTATATATATTATAATAATTAGTATATAATTTGTTCACGATTAAGAAATTTTTTAATAGTTAACATATATTTTAAAAAAATCGCAACTGTTTTGATTTCTTAATAATAAATATTTCTTTTTCTCAGTGTACCTTTCTAAAATTATAACTTTTCCAAAGTAGTGTTAATTTACACTGAACAAAAGTGGGATTTTACCCAGGAAGTGTAGAAGTACACGATTTTAGGTAAATTACCACTTTTTAATACAGTGTAAAATTACTTTATCTTAGGTGCTATAGTGTTTAATCATACTTGCTTACTTGGGGTTGATTTTTTTTACTGTGTATTAGTAGTTTTTCACTTATACCATGGTTAACCATGTAATACCATGGTATCCCCAACATTTAACAGCCAATTCTGATGTTAAATTGTCCCCTGGATCCGAAAATACCGTCAAAAATTATGAAAGTAGAGCAGTTTTTAAGATATAGTCAATTCCATAGTATATGGAAAATTTACTATATCTCAAAAACTGTTCTACTTTTCTATCGAAATTTTCGTATTCAGACGACAATTTTACATTGAACGAGAATTATTAGCATTATAATAATTATAACAATAATAATTATAATTATTATAATAATTACTATAGTGGCTGCTATATCGCTATGACAATTATTCATTTTTGACTAATTCATTTTTAGAGAGCATACATTTAAGTTACAAGAAAAAAAATTACATTTCCATATCCAAAAATAGTATTTATTTGACCCAATAATAATTTACTTAGTAAAACAATACTTTATTATTCATTAAAGTATTTGCTTAATGTTAATTTTCAACCCTTTTAATATTCATTTTAAGTATTTTTTATTTAAATAAAAAATATATTTTATTAAATAAAGGATTGTTATTAAATTAAGTAAAAATGTTTTTTCTTTTGAAATCCATATAATTTTTCAATTAAAAACTCAATTAAGATTTTAATTAAATATATTAATTATTGCAATACCACTAAATTATACTTGTATAATTATTATAACATTAGATTACTTTGAGACAATGGTATTTTAATGAACAAAATAACATTATTTTTAAAGAGAGTATAATTTTTCTTAAATGAAATGCAAAACGTAAATTAACCTGTAGTACATAAAAAAGGGCTGGGAGTTCCAGTTTTTGACTTTAGTGTGCTAAAGAATGGAATTTGGTATTATTAATTTTAATATTTGAAGGTAAGTTTAATTTTTTATTTCTATTTAATAACGCGCAATGGAAATAAACAAGAAAAAATACCAATGCAAAAAATTATAATTTTGGGTACTATTTGCATGGGGAAAAACAAACCGTTATTTATTATAATATGTTTGTTCTAGCATTACATTTCTGACGGTTTGAGGCTGGTTTAGTGGCTTGAGCAACTACGCTTTTCGATCTGAAGTCTTGCAAACGGTTTGGGGCCATTTTTTGCTAGTTCTCACTCAACGCTAGAACGCTTATTTCGAATCGAAAATGTGATGCAATACCTTCTGCAGTACCTACTGCCTCAATATAGTTACCACTTTGTTAGTTTTACTAAAATAAATTTATGAATGTATTTATACAAATGCTTTGTTTTTTTTGTACATATCTACCGTATTTCACATATCAAACTTGTGTAAATAGTCAAGCGACATTAGTGCAATTAGCTTCCATCTATTATTATATTTGAATATAAAATCAATTCGTTTTATTTAAAATAAATTTTACCCATAGGTACTAAAAGGGAACGACCTAATACTTAAAGCAAGAAACCCCAAATTTAAATCATAATAAATAAACTACATATTTTCAGTAAAAGTATTGTTTACATTGAAGCTAGAATATTTCTTGAACAAAAATAAAATAAATCAGAGTGGTAATAGTAGTTAATAAAACAATCGGGTTATTTTTTAAATAAGTATAAGAAATATTTGAAAATAAATTGCAGTTTTCCCAATAATAATAAGTAGTTTTTTAAATACTTGATCATGAAATCTAGCTTAATCTTAAAACAATTTTTAGGCTATTGTCAAATTCAACACTAGCGTATTCTGAATATAAGTGAAACCTACCTAAATTCTTAAGAATTTAGAATTTTTCTTGTGGAATAGTAAAACGAGTATTTTCTTGGGCAAACGCTACTCTTTAATATACTGCAGCTTTCTGTCTTTGTAGTAAAATGCCATTTTATTCAATTTTGGCAATTCTTTATGCTCACAACAAAATATACGAGGTGTGTTCAGAAAATAACGGGAATTGTTAAATTTCGCGGGTTCGGAGGGTCCGGTTGTCATAAAATTTTCTTTATTATGTTGGTATACATGCCCCCGAAGTATGATAAAAACTTTAGCTGTTTTCATTGTTTACTTTGTCTGTGGCAGCCGCTAAGGTTAGACGTGTTTTATGAGCTCGGCGATTTTTCGTTCGTTAAAAGAAATGGATCAAAGAATTTGTATCCAATTTTGCTTAAAAAATGAAATAAATTCTGTGAAATGTTAACAAAAGCCTATAGTGAGTCTGCTATAAGTAAAACAAGAGTTTACAAGTGGTATAAGAGTTTCCAATATGGCCGTGAAGACGTTGAAGATGACGAACAAGCGCACAAGCACATTAACAACCTATAAAAACATGGAAAAAGTGGAAGAAATGGTTATAAACCATCAGAGAAGTCGCTGATGATGTTGGTATATCGATTGGCTTACCCCATGACATTTTTTCGAATGTTTTGGGTATGAAACGCGTGGCAGCAAAATTTGTTCTAAAATTGTTAAATTTTGAACAAAATTTTTGTCCAAAAACAATACTGTAATGATGCATCAGCCTCCATATTCGCCAGACATGCCTCTGTCTGACTTTCCTATTCCCAAAAATAAAGAGAACCTTAAACATTTAAAAGCGCATCGCTGAAAGAACTAAAGGCTATCCCAAAGATCGTGTTTAGAAGTGTTTCGAGTATTGGAAGAATAGCTGGCACATGTGCATAATATCCAATGGGGACCATTTTGAAGGCGACAACATTAATGTAGACGAATAAATAAATATTTGTTTCAAAAAACGAAAATTCCCGATATTTACTGAATACCATTAACCATTTTCCATATGTTAATAAAAATAAAAAAAAATTTAAAATACAATTGGACGCCTTTCTGCAGAAAGGAACCAACCCACAAAACCAAAAAGATCGAGATATTTAGCCTATGAACTAATTAAGTATGTATAATTTATCTGCAAAATAGGTCATAGCCAAAATGCAAGTGTAGTGAAATCTATTAATCATTGAACCAACCAACATTCAATAATAGTTTGGATTCCTAATCCAGAATTAGAATCTGTAGAATATCTGCAAGTGGGTTGGATCTTTTTTGTAAAAAAGCAGGCTGGTAGACCCACTACCAAAGTCTTTAAAGATTTCCTGCTTCTGCAAAATATAAAGTCTTGATGCATTTTTTTGGTAGCTTACAAGATGAGGTGGGGTTGGAAGATGATGTGGACGAATTTCAAATAGAATCAAAATTAATTCATATTACCATTATAATAGTAATATAAGTTGTATTTTGTTTGGAAATAAATAATTGTCGCTTTTCTTTAAATACATACATACATCAGATAGTAGTTTTCATAAATTGCAGAAAGGAACCAACCAACAAAAGCCCATTTTTTTCGTCACCCTTACACATAACATCACAAAATCCACCTGATGAAATTATTAAATTATATCCCTTAAACCTCCGTAAGCCCAAAATCGGCATAAAATTAACAGGTAATTTCAAAATTATTAAAATCTTTGATAGCTTTTTTCTCAGTTTCATCATGGTGTGGGTTGGTCCCATTCTGCAGAAAGCCGTTCAATTATGGTATAACCTAACTTTCTAAACTTAAAATTTGATATACTTGGAAACCCGGACTTGGCCGCATGTGCGCCGCCCGATGACGTCATCCATTGACGCCGCCAGGACGCTCGTACGGCGCCAGACGCCGGCTATCGACCGCGACAGGTCAATAGCGCCCCCCTCGCCGCGCGCGTGCCCCCTCGTCGCTCCCCGGATCCGTGGGGGGATGCTGCCGTCGAGGCTTTTCTTTTTGCACCGGCTCCCTCCACATGCAGACTCCGAAAAGTTAAAAGTGGCTGCTGGCAAGTCTGAAACCCGGCCTCGCCATACGTTTGGACGCCAAACTTTATCGTTTGGCGAGAATTTCATCTTGAATGTATAAAAAAGTTATATTCTAATTCTAATTCGTCTCTTGTCTCTTGTTTTAGTGTTAAATGTCAGAATAAAAAAGAAATTGTGGAGACAAAATATTTAAAACCACTAGAGATGTAAAAAACGTTTTATTTTCAGATTTGAAAAAAAAAACCTGAAAAAAAATTGAAATTTCAAATCCGCTACAATAAAGCATATTCTGTCAATAAATAACATCAATCTTAAAAAATTGAGTAATTTTTCAAAATAAAATTTTGAGTAAAATGTATATTAATAATAAACTAAAATGTAGAATATATTACATTTTTCATTATTGAAAATTTTGACCGAGACTATTTTGGATGAGGTTGCAATGAGTTATTAATTAAAAGTAAAGAAAAGTGTATTTATAATAAAATGTATAAAAGCGACTTGACTCTTTGCTCAAAAAGGTCCTTATTAAGTTAGAATACTGTCTTAGTCTAGTGACACTTGTGTGCATAAAACCATCTGTGAAAGGTTTTATGACACTTGTTTCACTACTATCTTATCTAACTGAGGGTTGAGTTTTCTATAAGTATTATTGACATGTAAAGAACTGCAATTAATCACTTAAAAATCTGATTTCTTATTATTTGGTAGTTTCCACATAAGAAACCAATAGCAATATAGTAAAACTTCTACACTAATATAAAAAATTAAAAAATAAAAAAAAAAATTCCAAATTTTTTGCGATTTTTCGGATAGCTGTATCTTCGTTAAAAATGGTCGTATTGTAGCCGTAAAAAAAGCAATTTGAAGCTTGAAGTTTCTAGTTTTGAGATTTTTAGATGAAAAACGTGCCACGCTCAATCCTAACGAATACCGTAATAAAAAAAAATCGAAATTTCTTTCTTTCTTTTTTGGTCCACGGAATGTTCTGACTTAACCACCAAGATTTTGCTATTGTTTTTTTGAAAAAAAAAAAATTCCATACCTACATGAATTTGAAAAATCATGAAAAAAGTGCTTTTGGTAGCTTTTTGAAAAATCAAGCGCTGAATCAAAAATATTATAGGTAGTTCCTTTTTTTAAGACCAAATCAAAAGAAGCGCGGCCCTTATTGGTCAAATCGGTGGTTGAGGCGAGTGCAAAAGGCGAGACTGTATTTACATTTACTAAATGTCATTTAGTGGCTAATTTTAGTCCATGAACTGAACTGGAAACAAAAAATTAGGCAAATGGGACTAATCTTGAAAAAAAAACCTAAAATATGAAAAAAAACAAAGAAAAAAAAACCTGAGAAAAACGGACCGTTTTTTTTTCAAGTCGCATCTCTAAAAACCACCCTTGTAGACGTATACATACTAGGAAGTAAAAGTAATGAATATATAATATATATTTTCCTTTGTGTAGATGGTTTACTGTATGGATCCGTATTGGGTTCATTGACTTAAATAGTACACATAATTAAAATTATTTAGTCTTGCATGCGTCATCGGTTACCTGTTTAAAGAGACAAAGGCGAAAGGAATTTATATTTAGTACGGAAGTGAAGCAGAAGTATTTGTTTTTATAACATATTGATTTTACACTTACTGCGCAAGTATACTTATATATAATCATAAAACCATTAGAATACTTAAAAACTGATCAATAATTAATTCGCTGCTTGTAAAAACACATATTAAAGATAAATTAAATTATAAGGTACACTGTTTAAAATATCTGTGGTGTAAAGAGTAATCTTAAAATGGTGACAAAATCCAACACCAAGTGGTGTTAATATAAACACCATGAATAATAATAATTATTATGGTTGAAAATGTTATATACAGCAAACACCAAAACGGTGTTTATCTAAAAATATTTGAGAAGTGCACCTACACAGAAAAAAAGGAATAGTTCATTTAACTATATTAATTTAGTTGACCCATAAGTATTTATTTAAATCAACTGTGGGAAGGTTAATATAAACAACGATTAGTTTGACGGTACTAAACCAGATAGTTATTTTTTTTTTTTAATTGGTTAAATTAACCCAGAAAACTTTAGTAAAACCAACTCGCTGTATGGTTCAGTTTACTAAATATGTTGTTTGTAAAATAAGAGTTACTTCAACTTAAAGCACTCTGTTAAAACGATTAAAACAATTTCCGTGCATTCCTGGTTGCAAAGTATGTACCGATCGCGGCAAAGGCGGTGTGCATCACGTGATGTTAAATCTCGCCTCTGTTGACTTACATGAAATGTATATAAGCTCAGGTAGTTCTTTGCTTTGGTGTGACACTACAAGTGTTTGATACACTGAAAAAAAAATATTCTTGTATCAAATAAATTTATTTGATTCAAAACAATCTGTGTCTCATATATAACGAAGAGAATATATTCTTTAAAATAGAAAAGTATTTTCTTAATTCACGTTGATTTACTTTAAGAATATTTTCTTAATGTAAGAAAATTAAATTTCTTTAAATAAAACTTTGATTGTTTAAAAGCAAGAATATATATTTTTTACAAAAACAAAGAAACACTGCATAATTAGGCATAAAATTTAAGAGGAATGTGTCGGCATCCCCACTTCTACGCAGTTTTAAGAATATGTATTCTTGGCAAAAGAAAATACTGTTTATAAAAACAAATAAACAAATTTAAGAATATCTATTTCTTAATATAAAAAAATTAAAAATATCGTATTCTTGATATAAAAATATTAACAATTGTACCAAGAAACCAACTTAGATTTCCTTCAAGAATATTTAATATTTGAATTAAAACATGCAACTTTTTAAAACAAGAACCTGTTTCTTAATACTAGAATATTTTCAAAAATACAAAATTCTTTTTTAAAGAAGTTAAATATTTTTAATTGAAATATATATTCTTATTTTAAAGCAAGTTGACTTGAATTAAAAAAATATTTTCAAGATGATTGGTATTCTAAATGTAAGAAATCTTTTTTTTCAGTGTACCAAAGAGATCTTAAATAGGTGGAAACAGCGGACCAACAAACCTTATTTAACACCATTTTGGTTTGTATCAATATAGACCATGTATGGTGTTAATTTGGTGTTAAAATGGTCATGAAATTTTGAACAGTGTAGGTTTACGTTAAAGAAGCATAGGATTTTCGCAACGCGAACGCCATCTGGTGGCGCTGGATAGCATTATTGAACTACTAAAGTTTGTCAAGAATTCATTTAAAGTATGCAATTTATTTCGTCATTCGGATTTCCACTGTTTATAGGAAAACCGGTTAAAGCTCGACCCAGAAGTTCTTCTCGAAAAACACAACAAATTGTTTCACGTTTTTTTTTCTCTCGAAGTCTTTAACATTTTCCGGCCTTTTCTAAAAACACATGTTTGTAACATACCCGTTTGACAGCTGATTATTAAAAATTGTAGTTTTGTTAAGATGATTCTTTAGCGTTTATACCTTATGGTAACGTAAAAACACACCAGACTTTGAAATTTAATGGAAAGAGGAAATTACTAGCGGAAACATGATAACTGCATAAAACCGGGGATTTGATAAAATAAGAAAAGCTCAGGAAGGAAAGAAAATGTCATCCAAGGTGTAAGACGAGAATTTATAAAACTCTATAGGAATCTTAATAGATGTTTTCTGTTGCAAGTTGTTCCTTGTTTAACCAGAACCACTTTAACCTTAAAAAGGGTTATTAATTAATTAATAGGATTATTGCTTTTGTTAGGGTCTTTCAGATATTGTGTAAAATCAAATATTTTATAAATAAGCACATTAGACATTCCACGAAAATTTGAACTTTTTTGTTAAAAATAAACATGTAAAACATCAGGGTATTTTACCCTGAATAAAACTAATTTGATTGGCTTCACTTATTATTTATTACTTTTTAACTAAATTTATTAAACTGCTATGATTCGACTTCTACAAATGTTCTGCGGACTCTGCGTTACCATTCGATTTCTAAGCTGTGCCCAGATTGTTTTGCTTAGTAGGCACACGTGCCTTTATTGCTCTACTGTCCTACTTTGGTAAAAAGGGGATTATCCTAACACGGCCATCCTGTTTTCGGAGCGTCCTCGCGCCGTTTTTCCTTTTCTTTTTTTTATTTCTGCAAAAAGAAAAACCGAAACAGATTTTTGTTTTTAAAGTTGAAATATATCTAAATTAAAACTAATTTAAAGTCGGATGGTATTGCTATCCTCAGCAGTGGGTAGTAGGATTGCTACTATCTTGTTTTTTTTTTTTGTTTTTTTTTTGTCGGATGGGTTGCCATCCTCAACAGTGGGATTGCCACTTTCACCGAGGTGTTTAGTCACCTCCCAAGCATAGTAGGACTGCTACTATCTTGTCTTTTTTGTCGGATGGGTTTGCCATCCTCACCGAGGTGTTTAGTCACCTCCCAAGCATAGTAGTACTGCTACTATCTTGTCTTTTTTTTGTCGGATGGTTTTGCCATCCTCAACAGTGGGATTGCCACTTTCACCGAGGTGTTTAGTCAACTCCCAAGCATAGTAGGATTGCCACTATCTTGTTCTTTTTTTGCTTTTTTTTTATTTTTCGGATGGGTTGCCATCCTCAACAGTGGGATTGCCACTTTCACCGAGGTGTTTAGTCACCTCCCAAGCATAGTAGGATTGCTACTATCTTGTTTTTTTTTGTTTTTTTTGTCGGATGGGTTGCCATCCTCAACAGTGGGATTGCCACTTTCACCGAGGTGTTTAGTCACCTCCCAAGCATAGTAGGATTGCTACTATCTTGTTTTTTTTTTGTTTTTTTTTTGTCGGATGGGTTGCCATCCTCAACAGTGGGATTGCCACTTTCACCGAGGTGTTTAGTCACCTCCCAAGCATAGTAGGATTGCTACTATCTTGTCTTTTTATTATTATTATTAAATACAGGACTTACATTTTTTTATTCCTTTGGCCACGGCCTCAGCTGTTCAAGGGCAGCAACTGTGGTCCTCTTGTGCAGAACATATCTTTCATTTGGTAACACCTGTCGAACAGGTCCTCTATATTTTGGTTTTAATTTGCCTCCACCAGCAATTTGT